GGGGGGGGGGGGGGGGGGGGGGGGCGATCATCTGAAATGGGGCACTTATTTCTTTTGAAACATACAAAATGAGAATTATAAATTATTTATCATACAGTACATAAAATAATTACTAATAAAAGATAGTGTAGCAACAGTATCGCAACCTAACACCATGTGTTTTATCATTGGAAAGAGGCTGCTAAATTATTGGAAAGAGAATGGCAAATACATTTGAATCACCACTGGAAATTCGTCTTCTAATGAGTCTGGGTCAGCTAAATCCCGCCCAGTCAGAAATCCATAAATCGGTAACAACCCCTCATCCCAGGGGGGGGGACTCCCATTTGAAAAGGTCAGGACTGCTTGTTGTCTCACTCCGGGGTGTAAAATTGAGGAGTTTGGTCTCGCCTAGGGTGTTCATGATGAAACACCACTGTTTTTAGCTGTCTAAGTATCTTTTTATTAAGGTGCACTTAAAGAAATAATGATAATAAGGAAGCCTCTTATTCCTGTTTTTAGGTTCCTAGTGCAGGCTACTTTCCTGAACAGTGGCTGTCATTGAGCCTATTCCGTTTTAAGTAGTTTCTTTTAGGGCTCAAATAAAACTCGAGCTGACCACACCCAAATTGGTCTCCTGGGCCGGGTTGTTTAAAGCCCGATTAAGCTAACCCAGGATTAGCGAGAATTTTAATTTCAGTTTTGTGACTTTTAGGTGCTGTTTTCTATTTATGTTGCTTGTCATTCAGGTTTGAGTTTGAAAACTTTCAAACTACACAAAACATGAGCAATGAAAAACATTTTTATATAAGATCAAAGGCTCCCTGATCGTGGATGAACAGTGGACTTCTGCCTCTGTGGCAAAACGAGTCTTTGTGCAAAACTGTTTGTATGAAAATGCACGTCACCTTTGCGTTCATTCTCTTGAAAATCAAGTCATTTTCATGTGAAATGTTTTGTACTACCATCCAGGCTAAAAAAGAGGCAAACAGCAACTCCGAAGTGGAAGTAAAGTCTGCATATGAACCAAGTGGCCGATCAGATCGGCATTTATCCCGGTTTCTGTAGCAATATCAAATTTGCCAGTACTTATTTATACACCTGAGTGGAAAGAGGCACTGTGAGAGTTGTGTCTTGCTCAAGAACACAATAAAATGTTCCCAGCAAAGGCTTGAGGCCAGACTGCTCGAAATAGACAAGAAATACAAAAAATCAAATAACAGGTTGTTTACACAGACAGCTCATAAATGTTAAAATGGATAATAATTAATTTTGATTGGAATTGGAACATTGTTATCATATTAACTTGTACACGACATAGTGTCAAAGAATAACAACAGTCTGTTTCAAAATGAAATCATTAAATGAGTTCACCATATTTACCAGTCAGTCCAAAATTGACAATATAATTATGTATATGAGTCAGCAGT